GGTCGCCGTTATCGTCGCCTTTGTCGGGGGGGTTCGTTTTCCTGTGTCATCCAGGAGCTCAAGCTTTGCGGCGCGGATGCCCTGGTGGTGAAAGACCCAGTGCCGCAAGGGCTTTCCGATGTGTCGTGGGTTAAAGGCATTCGGGCGTTAGAGGCCTCGGCTTCGCCGGCTCTTCTGCTTTGCTACCTAGCACCACTCTCACCTGCTCGTGAATCATGCCCCATGCCGTGCTCGGAGCATGTTTGTACCCCTTCCACATTTCTCCTTCAGTAGGGCACAGTCAAAGCGTAGCAAGAGCTGGCTTGAGGCAGCGACGACACCGACGCCACCGCAGATTTTAGGTTTGGCACGATTCCCAGTTCTCGGCACCAGGGACAGGTTGCAAGTCGCTTCGTTGGAAGTACGCGCGACTGCAGGCTGCTGAAGCCAAACAGCGGGCAGAGGCGATTGCAGAGGTGGATTCGGAGTAGGTTCGCGCAGGACCATGGATCCATGTGAATTCTTGCTGGAGGTGGAGCAGGCACTCCGTCCGATCCCATCCACCAACTCCAGTGCCAAGTAGCAAGTGGCTGTAAGACTTGGGCTCGCTGATGGGCACATGCCGCATTGCAGTTGAGCACAGGTACAATGCGCAGGTCTACCACACCAAGAGGCCATGGTGCCATCACCATCACGATCGTTGAGTCGTGATAAGTTCTAGTCGAGCATCTCGTGAATTCAATGTAGCTCCAGTCAGGGCAGAGTTTTGCGAGGTGATGGTGGGGGCGGGGCATCACCTGCAGGGCCGCCTCAGCCACAGGCGGGGTCGGGCACCTGCTGAGCAAGGTCTCTTTGCCGTTTGCATAGGGACTTGGGGCCTCGTGAAGATGGAGCTTCTACACAACGCTTCAACAAGTCTGATAGTATTGTCTTGAAGATTTCTCAGATGCTCCTGGACCCGCGTGTATCGCTTGCTCCCACTTCAGCTCGACACGACCGGCATGGTCAGAGAACGCATAGGCTTAGATAAGTTGCGACAAAGCAACCCCGATATGTCTGACAGTGGGTGACATGTGTCTACCACCGGCGAGCTTCTCAGTCAGTGGTGTTCTTGACATGAAACGCCGGTAAGTGCAGCATATAATTGCCCATGCCCTGAGCACCTTTCCACCTTGATGCCGATCAACAAAGAACCTGATCTGGCCGACCCCAGTGTGGGAGTGTAAAGCCAGGTATGGCCAACCCGATTGACATAAACGGACGGCCAACACACGCCCCCACTTTCCTCGGGTCGTTTCATGCGGCACCCCCCGACCGGCTGTTTCGATACAAAGAGATGACGATCCATGCTCTTCGCCGGCTGTTGCTGACCCTTGACAGAGGGCGGCAGAAATGCCTTGCAGCTCGGCTGACATGTCCATTTTTTGGGGGCAAGACAGAGCATGGCGAGCCGGCAGCCAGCAAACATCGGGATGACCAACACCTTCTGTATCATCGACCTTCTTTGCCATGCATAAGATTCGCAGCCCTAGATGTCCTTAGGCATCCTCTTTTCTGAAGCGCCGCAGCTCCTGGGCTGCAGCGTGCTGCACTCACTGTCGCTTCTGCCAAGCCCATCCAGAGTTTTCCACATCGCAGCATTAGCAACCCGAGTAAGCTTAGTAAGCTTACAGTTCCCTTTGCATCCTGAGTGGAAGTGAGTGGAAGTGTGTAGAGAGTCTTCTTTGTAAGGTAAGGCGTCACTGCACTTCCGAGCTAATGCAGTTGTAGCCTACCAGCCAGATCGATTCATTGGCCTAAATACACAGTAAACTACTCTTTTCTACTTGTGCCTCCAGGATGTAGGCTGATGCAGGTTGTACTGGCCGTGCTCATCATTGAGTGATTTTTAGTTAGAAGGCTGAAACCAAACTGTGTCGCCGCGGCTCCAGCATGCAAGGATGCTGCCGTCGGCGGCCCGCTGCTCTGCGAATCACCTCACCACTCCGGGGCGCAGCGGACAAGGCTTGTTTTCCGTTCAGTGATGCAGGACAAGAGCCGTGTGCGGAAGAACAGGTGCTCTCGAATCATGTGGGTTTGTTGGCGGTGTTTTCCTGTTGCTAGCTTGCTGAATAGGACCTCAGGGACGGCCCAAAAAACACTGGCTGGTAGCCACTTATCCAGTCAGCTTAGCCCGCCGCATACTTGTACCACCGCGTTCGGCGGTGGTATGCCACTGCGGTGGTGTCTCGATGGTCTCCGAGGCAGTATCCCCATAGGTTCGTGGTCAACTTCTTTGTGATTTGGTCGGTGTTTCTCACCCGGGCGGTGGCATCCCTTCAGTTTGCGGTCCATATCGCGGCAGGTTTTGAAGCCGATGGTATCCTGACCCGACAGTTCGCAGTCAACTTCTTGCCGGGGGGCTTGCACACCGTGGTGGTGTATCGGTGGTAACTCAGGGTATCTCCAAGGTTGGCAGTCAACTTTCTCGTTCCTGCCGTGGTGTCCCCTATGCCCGTGGTCAGAAAGCTCCCTCCCTCCGCTCCCTCCCTCCCTCCCTCC